AACAGCAACTTTGACATGGGCTTCCAATTCATCTCCGTTTTGATGCATAAATGTAACCCTAATTTCACTGCCAAAATCAAAGTGACTCAACAGGAATAAATCAGGTAGATTTGCTATAGCAGCAGGTTTACAGGTACTACGAATAGAGATTTCGTAAACCTTGAATAGCTGTGCAAAGGACCAGCCCTCGAGCTCACCAAATCGTTGAATTTTGTAAAGTTCCTCCCATGTAAAATTGTAAGAAACACATTACCATATTTTCAATTGACTACCCTTTCTTATTCACATACCAAATATTGTGCAGATGAAGAAAACATTACCTCGGCTCGTATCAAAGCTTCAGCTTTGGCTAAGTCACTTCCTTCTACTGCAGCACGTTGAGCTGCTTCTAATTCAGTTCGGGCAGCCTGAAAACGATGAAGAATCTCCAATCGATTCACGATAAGTTGATTAGAGAAAACGCAAATTCTGAAGAAGAAGAAAGTCGAAATCTAGAACAGTTTTACTTTAGCGAATTACTGGAGTGAGGGGAGATGGTTGCTTCTCACAAACATGAAGACTATTACTTTGAGCACAAAGGAACAGTGGAAGATAGTGTTGCCTCTTTTTCGTTGTAGCAGCAAATTTCGCTGCGACAGGCATATGAAGGGGCAGAATGATATCGCACAAGTGTGTACAAGTACTAGCTGCTGAACGACTAGTACTCTGAAGGCTGTGCAGATCCCTCTCTACGAAATCAACACAGGAAAGGCTAGACTTACTGCTTGGTCAATATCTTCAACTTTGACAACTTCTTCAGCTAGCACCTGGCAGGTTCCATCGATATTCATAGACATGGTGCCCGATGAGACGAAGAGTTTCGTTACTTTACCTACAAAAGTATACTCATAGAAGGATGTTATATGAATAAGTGTATATACAAAAGTTTATCTTGACATAAACGATTATTTACATGAGAACTCATCAAAAATATGTTTCCCTCACTTCACTGTCGACGTCAAATTAACGGNCAGAAGGAATAATTTAGGTCGATTTAATATAGCAACAGGTTTACAGGTACTACGAAGAGAGATTACGTAAACCTTGAATAGCTGCGCAAAGGACCTGCTGTCAAGCTTATCAAGCATTGAATTTTATGAAGTTCTTCCCATATAAAATTGTACCAAGTACATTAACATACTTTCAATTGATAACACTTTCTCATTCCCATACCAAATACCGTGAAGGGTGAAGAAAACATTACCTCGGCTCGTATCAAAGCTTCAGCTTTGGCTAA